ACAACAGTGAGGGTTTTTCCAAAAAGGGAGACTGGGCTTGGATGCTTTAGGAATTCAGGAAATACTGCTTTGGTAGATTATTTTGAGCTGAAGGCACTTGAATAAAAGCAAATTCAGGGAGTGGTTTTCTCTGAACTCTCCTTATCTGCTTAACAACAAATCCTTCAGAAGGAACTTCAGTTGTCACAAATCTCCTCTCCTGGAGTTTTGTCAACCAGGGAAGATTGATTCTTATCACAGGAAGAAGACTAGACACCATACCAAGACAAACTTTGTCACAAACTTCCATATCTCTGATCTATTCTTCTAAAGGGCCCTAATCATTCACCTTTCTTAAAAATCATTTATTCTCTCCTATAAATGGTCTACCTCTCCCCTCCTCTTACCCTATTAAGATGGTATATTAGCTTTCAAATCCCACCACTTTGCGGGATATTTACTTTTTCCCCCTGTGATGTCCCATACACACAATATTAAAAATGAATAAGCTTGTATACCTTTTATACTGTTAATCTGCCTGTTATCAGTTTATTTCATAGACTTGACTATCAAAACTAGAAGCATAGAGCTGGAAAGTTTTTCCTTCCTTACAATATGGATGGCTCAAACATTAACTGTCCTATGAAATCCACTTGCTGCCAAACACATACACCCTGAGTTCCAAACTTAAACTTGCTTCCCACTTAGCAGAAAGCAGCTATCACTTCTATAATTAAAAGAAACTTTACTTCCCAGGGAAGGCACCTCAGCGCCCTAATGTTACTCCTGTAGCTTTCTTGCAATCCTTTCTCAAAAATCTGCAATCTATGACTAAATGGTGAATTTAATCTCCCTAGACAACGACCTTAAGACAATAGTAAAGGAAAGGGAGAAGAAAAAGAAGGAAAATTATTTAAAACATGCAAATATATATATCGAGGAAGGAAATTCAAATAGAAACTATCATCTTCACCTCTGTAACTCATTCTAAGGCTGATCTCGTATTTGACTATTTATTCCAAGTTGCCTTCAGTCAGCAACAGATAGTCAATTTCTTTGCCCACGGAAGAGACCCAACCCTTCATTCCTGAGAGATTTGTGGCCTGGGAGATCCTCTTGTGTAGAACTGCAGTAGTCTTGCAATACTTTGATCACAAGATGTGTAGCAGGAATAGGATCCTTAGGGATACAGTTGAGTCTATCACTAAGCTTCCCTGCCCTTATGGTGTGGTAACAACTTATTCCCCCTTGAGAGCTAGCCAGCAGTTTCAACCCTAGATAATACCTTAATTTCTTCTTTTGCTTGTCTATGCAGTGGCATGAGGTATTTAAAAATGGTTAAGTGGCAGTTTCAACTTTCTACTTGGTGGAAAAATTGTGTCACTTAGTGGAGCATTCCTTCCTTGGACACTAAAAGCTTTTAACTTATCTCCCCTCCCTACAGTCATGGGGCCAAGAAGTAAATAATTTTTGGGTGAGTCAAAAAGTTTCACTGTGAGAGGAGGCACTCCTACATTCAGCCCCTTGGCTCTTAAACTATGTGGTATCTGGCTAAAAAGAGAAACAGTGCACTGATTTGGGCATTACTGCATCCTGTAGATGGCTATTTCACAAAGTATTTAACAACTGGTACCTTTACTGGGCCTTCAATAGGCCCAGTACCTTTACTGGGCCCAGTAAAGGTACCAGTTCCAGAAGGCTGGCTAATGGAGCGCATGGTAAGACCAGAGAATCCTGTGGGTGTCAGTTCAGTGTCTCACTTCTTTTCTTGTGATTTCCATGGTCACAGACAATATTGTGTGAGATACCAAGTCCACAGATGGAAGTTTGGTTGAAGCATATGAGGCAAGGGAAGCAAATCCAAATCTAGAGTAAGAGCCTCTCCTAATGAGACAGATTCCTGCCTCCATCATGAGGGACATGGTCCTATGTAGTCGATCTGCCACCAACAAGTTCCTTCAAGGTATGACACCAAATCAAGAGTCCAAGGCTGGTTGCTGCTGTGAGCAAATTGGGCACCAGTAGTACTGGTTGTCATGTTGGCCTTGGTGAGGGCATGTCCCTGTTTTCCACCCCTATCATCATGGTCTTTCATCCATGAACCCATTGAACAAGTGGGGGCCCATGGTGAGCATTCATATGGTATGGCATACCTGCTGTCTCATGATCTAGGACCATTCTAATAATTCTATCTTTCCCGAACTTCTTTGTCATGAACTTCTATCTAATCTTTAAATTTGAGTTGCTCAAATTATTAGACACTTCCTGTGAACTGGTACACATCTTGACCTCAGGTCATCTCTTCTAGGCAAAGTGGACAATGCAATATACTGCTTACAATTCTGTCTGCGGATGTAATTAGGTAAGATAAGGTTGTCCTTGAGTAGAATGAACTCCTAATCCAATACGACTGATGTCCTTACAAAAAGGGGGGAACTCTAAACACAGAGATATATACAGGGGAAATGCCATGTAAACATAAAGATGGCCATGAGAACATGAAGATTGCCATCCATAAGCCAAGGAGAGAGGCCTGGAACAGATCCTTCCTTCCTAGCCCTCAGAAGGAACCAACCCTACCAATATCTTGATTTTGGAGTTCTAGCCTCCAGAATTGTGAGACAATAAAATTCTGCTGTTTAAGTCAATTTGTGGTACTTTGTTACAGCAGCCCTAATTTTAAGGGTGGAAAATTTTCAAGTGAGCCAACTAGCTAAGTCAGCTACAGGGCAGAAATACCTTTAGATACCAGAAGTTGTCCTATTTGCTTGGGTGTGGTTTAGGAGGTGTATTATATAAGATATGAAGATGGCCAATGTCTGCTTCTGTAATCCACTTACTTGTTAACCAGAGTGTGGTACTAGGTGATGTATTGTGCTAATGGCCAACTTCTGCTTCTGTAATCTGCTTGCTTGTTCTAGGCTTTATAACTGCCTCACTCTCAAACCCCAGGGCTGATCTCCTCTAACCCTGCCTGGTAGAGAGTCAGTCGCCGGCTGGCTAATAAAGGCTCATAATTAATCTCAGTTGGCTCCGTGGGTCTCAGAATCATTCACACCGTAACACTAACAGACTAATACAGCCACTGTTATGACTAAGCTTGCTGAGAGCATAACCTGATTTGTCTTGTTCGCATTCATCCCAGAAAGTGCCTGTACTATTACTTAGTACCTGTACGGTTATTCGTTTCGCTTGTATAAATGAACCTGAAAGCCTCTCAAGGGAAGAGAGTGTTGGGAGTGTTCAATCAAACCTGATGAGTAAATGAAACCATTTCACTAATTTTCAGAGTTCTGGGGGCGAGTACCGGCACGAAAAACGTATGCGGACTGATATGTCATAGCTCTTACTCTTCAGGCTGCATTAATATGCACTACGCGCTTTTAGCTCTCCGGACAAAGAGACTATTACTTCGCAGGTCCCTCAAGCGGGACTCAGAAGACCAAACAGAGATCCAGCCTTTCACAAGGACTGGTTTTTGCCCCTTCTGGCATCTTGGTACTTGTAGTTTTGTCCACTATATCTTTGCCCAAAAAACGAGCGCTGAGACCACAACTCCCATCACCCCAGAGCACTGGAGCCTTCAGAGCGCATCCTCCGGAGGGGGGCGCCGGCGCCATTGACTAACCTTCTGGCAGGAGGGCCCGCCTTCCTGAGCCCAGGCGCACCCATGATTGGTCAGCTGCCCCGCCTCTCACCGGAGTGGGCGACAGGTGAATGAAAGGGGGGCGTGTCGGTGCACGTAGCTCGGCGGCCGCGCGGCTGGAACCCACTGGAAGGTGAGAGCCAAGGAGCGGATTCAGGCTGTCGCTTTCATTGGCATGGGCAGAATTCTGGGCATCCTGGGAGGTCAACCCGGGCGGGGGTGCAGCGGGTTGGGAAGTCCCCTCTGGGTCGGCCTCCCTGGGACTTCCCGGCCCTGGCAACTCCCGGGACCCCCGCGGAGCGAACCCGCGCTGGATAACCAACCTTCAACCTCTCCTCCAGCGTAGGGAGGGGCGCTGCGGCGGCAGATGCCTCCACTTTCCTGGCAGTGGGCTGTCCCCCGCGTGGTTCACCCAGGTGGTCGAGGCGCGGGCTGGCTGATTCCTGTGGTGCCAGGGATGGCCCGCCGCAGCGATGATCACTTTGTCCGTGGAGGCCAGGGAGGGGCAAGGCCTTAGTTCCCCACCCTCGGGCCCCCAAGAGCGAGTCCAGTAACTGGTTCGGGTCATCTGGCTCCGGACGGGGCAAGAGTCCCTTGTTTTGGCGAGCAGTTTTAGCAGGTGAACCAAAGGTGCAGTTGACCCTGAAATTCTTTCTGTGGAAATGGAAACTTCTTCGTGCCGTTCCCTTACACTCCGTGCGCTGGGGAAAAGAGTGACTTTCCCAACCCTTCTCACTGTGTCCTAGAGGTTTGAGGAGTCGGGTGGGCATAGTGATTAAGGATGTCAACTCTGAAATCAAACCGATCTCAGTTCCAATCCGAGCTTGGGAGTGTTATCTGTAAATTTGAATCTTAATTTCCTCCTCTGAAAAAGAGGATGTAATGATTGTATCTATTGCATTGGGTTATTGTGAGGTTAAAATTAATTTTTGTAAAGTATTTTGTATAGTGCTTCGTGTAAATGCTAACAATTGATGAGCAGGTTTTCATTATTGTCGGGTCCGTGAACCTGGAAGAGTTGTCAGAGTCAGTGGGTGGAATTCAAGGCTGCTTTTGGTGCCTGAATGAAGACAATCCTGTGATCTAGCTAGGTAGGATTCCCTCAGGGGAATGTGGGAGTTTATTGCAGGTGGTCGTGTTGGTATCTGCCCTCCCCTGGAGGACAGCAATATACAATGCTAGGTTCATTTTTTCTATTTCTGATATCTTTCTCGTGTCAGGCATTGTATGTAGCCAGTAACTGTTGAATTGAATTGGAACAATGGGGAGGTTGGGAGGGTCCCTGCCAGAGTGTGGGTAACCGCACTTCTGAGGGCGTTATACCCTAAGAGCTTCTTTTCTAGGAGAAATGTCCCAGGGATGCAGAGCACCAAAGGCAAGTGAGATTAATATGAATAAATATTTTCACATAATATGCCAAATGCAGTGTTGAGGGAAGAGATGCAGGAACCGGGTGGGGGTGGGTGGGTGGGTGATTCGTCCCCCACCCACCCAGTGGGGACTCAAATCCTGCACCAAGAGAGGGAGTGAGGGTTCTTGTCTGTGCACAGGAAATAATTCAAGTGCACGCCAGAGTTAGAGACAAAAGGAAAGTTTATATGAGAAGGAATGACACACCATAGATAATGGTCTCCCCTCAAAGACAGAATGAGAGGAACAGTGTTTGAAGAATTCAGTTTATATTTCATTCTTAGTTTCTATGAATTACAGTTTAAAGACTTTGTTTACCTGTTTACCTTTGATGATATGGGTGTGCAGCGTGAAAGGCATACTAGCAATCTCAGCCTTTGTTCTATAGATTTCCCATGGTTTGGCCTTAGGGAATAAATGGTTGGGTTTATTTTGTGTAAGGATGACTTAAAGACTCTGCTTTCCTGTTATGGTATGGGTAAGTGATTTGTTAGCAAAGCTAGCAGGAGTCTTGCTTTGTTCTGGCAGCACACTGTAGGCTCTGAATACAGCCTGGTTTAATGATTAGTTCTCATGCCTCTTCCCTACATCAGAAGGTTTGAAAAAATTATGTGATTAGAGTTTTGCAAAGTCGGGGAGTATTCGCATGACCTAATAGACCCTAGAATATTTGCAGAGAGGAAACCAAAGGAGATGAGTTTTAAGTGCTATTGCTGGAAAGGAGCATCTTCCAGTGAGAAAATGGGAAGTGTCCTGCAAGGATGCCCTGTAGATAAGAACATTCTACGAGCTAAGAGGTATTGTGCCTACATTGGTATTTATCCACCTGGTATGCCAACTACCTTCCCCTTTGCCCCTCCTCCTTCTTTTCCTTTGTTAAAAGAGAAAAATAAAAGCAATACAGGCACATAGTGGAACAAACTAACAGTACAGGAGGTTTAAAAGCAAAAGTGAAGGTCCCTCCACACACCTCTTACCTCTAGTCTCTCTCCTCAAGGTTATCTGCTGTTAACTCTTGCTTTTGTAACCTTCCAGAAAAAAAATTCATGCATATACCAGCAACACAGATGAGATCATACTATACATTTTGTTTTGAATCTTGCCTTTTTCTCTTACTATATCTTAGTGGCCTTTTCATATGAATATACAACTCTAGCTCATTAAAAATGTGGTTGCCTAGTAGTCCACTGTGTAATTGCACTTTATTGATTTAACTTGTTCCTTATTGATGGACATTTAGATTGTTTATACTTTTGCATCAGTACAAAAAACCTGGTGCAGTGGACATGTTTGAACTTATAATTCGATGTATTTTTGAGAATATATCCGAAAGGGTAAATTTTTAGCTATGAAATTTATGGGGCAAAAGATGTGTAGATTTTGAGTTTTGATAAATATTGCCAAATACCCCTCATGTATTCCCATGAACAATGGATATTATCATATTAAAAAATGTGATTTTTACCGGTCCGATAGGTTTTCTTTCAGCTCTGAGGAAGACTAGAATGTGGTATTTAAATGTAGCATTTTCTTATATCTCGTTTTTCCCTTAATATTTCGATCGCCAAAGGCAGTAGCAGGAACTGCTTGGAAGGTTTGGTTGGAGCAGTTGGAAGAGGTGAGAACGACAGTGAAACCTTAGTCTTGTGAAAACTTTCAGGGTTGATTTATTTGGGAATAGAATTTTTCAGATATCTGAGAGTTATCTTCCTTTTTGAAACCAAAACATTAATTTTAACTACTTTGGATGACAAATTTTGAAATTATGATATAACTTCCTTGAGTTTAAAATGATATAAAAAGATAAGAATCTTTATGACTTCAACCCATCAGTTATAGCCCTGGGCTATAATTTAGAGATGCCCTTAGGCCATTTTGAATATGTAGGAGTGTTTAATACCCATAGCTAAATGGCCTCTGGCTGATATCTTGAAAAAATTCCTAGGTCTATTTTTTTTTTTTAATAACTGTTTTACCTTTTCCTAGTTGTCAGTTCTCACTTTTACATTTGTCAGTTTACTCGCTTATAGAGGCTCCTCTATATTTTTCTCCCTAAGTGCTTCTCTAGTTTCCAAACTTAATGCATCACTTGTTATACGCCTGTATAAAGAAGGTGTAAATTGCCACTTAATAAGGTGGTTGTGGGTCTTTGATGAGTAAAGTTTGTGCAGTTAGTGTGTAGACCTTGGGGCATCTATTTGCCAGTGGAAGGACCCTTTTTTGGGGGAGAGGGTACCTGATTTCTGGTTGGGTGAGGTGGTGTTGTGCTTCATTTGTAGGAAGGAAGAGTGCTAAAGAGTTGTTAGCCCTAGCTGGCCCCTTAACTATGCTTTTCGTGATTTCAGTAGAGGAGTTGATGCACTTGGTTGTAGGAACTTCTCTGAGCTCAATGGGTCAGTAAGTAAAAGGGGTGTTGATGGATGGCCATGTGGTTTGTGTGATGGGAAAAGATGGAGGACAGAGCTCAGGGAAGAAGGTAACTCTTGCTTATATAAACTTCCAGAAAAAAAATCGTGTGTATACCAGCAAAAGCATATACTCAGATGGGATTTTAGCAGGAGGACTTTGAACTTGATTTATATTTGTTCTACTTAGCAGTTGAAAAGAGAGTATTCCTTTGTATTTAGCAAACCTACCTTCTCCGCAGCACTCTGCCCGGTGCTGTCGGGGATATCAAATAAAACATGGCTCATGCCTTCAAACGGGTTGTAATCCACAGACAGACAAAGGCCAGGACATGGAAATACAGAGGCATGAACCAAGGGTAGTGGAATCAGTCATTTAGGAGTCTCTCAGTTACAAGAGGTAGAAAACCCAACTCAGACCAGTTAACATAAAAAGGATCTTAATTGGCTCTGGCACAGCAGGAGTTGGGGGTCACAAGGTATCCCTGGGTTCCATCTATTGTTCTTGCCTGAGCTGGGCTGTTGTATTTGTTAGGCTGGTTCTCCTGGTGGTGTGGCATCAGCATCCCTCACATCCCACCTGCCCACAGAGCAGAGAGTCCTCTTTTTTGGAATCCCCAGTAAACATTTTATTGCTTTTCATTGGCCTGACCAAGCCACATGGCCATTTCTGAGCCAATCACTGTGGTCAGAAAGTGATTGGGGATGGCACCAGCTAGATGCAAAGCACATTGGCCAAGAATGGGGGAAGGGTGTTTCCACCAAAGCCAAAAGGGTACTAACACAATAAGAATGGTGACCGCCTGCTGGCTAACCCAGGAATCCACCAGTTTCCACAAATCGCTGATAATAGGTGAGAGCTGAGACTGTACATGCCAGTCTCTAAGCTCTGTATCAGGACAGTGTAGACTGAACTGTAATTCTTGGATTTGGGTATTATTTATATTTTGAGCCTTGAAGAAAACAGAATGTAGTTTATAAGAGCATGAGCTCTGGAAGGGCGGTTAACAGACATGGTTTTGAGTCCTGGCTTTGTTATAGCTCAGTCATCTCCTATCCTCTCTGAGTCTCAATTTCCTTATCAGAAAAATGGGGACAATATTGGTATTTTATCATAAGGTTTTTATAAAAATTCACTGAAAGACTCCATGTAAAACACTATGTATTGTGCCCACCTACAGTTAGGTCGTTATTTTTGTTGTTTTCATAAATTAACCCACTTGGACAACCTTTGATTTTTGTTAGATCCAAAACAGCCCATATCATAGAGACACTATTGAACCAGTGTTTTGGGAAGAATTAAAAAAAAAATTACATCTGATTTGTAAGGTTGGGATTTGTGAATTAACTTAAAAAAAAATCTTGGCAGAGATACAGGCTACTCCAGAGCAGCAGCAGCTGGTGGAGAAATGGAGGTGCAATCCTATTATGCCAAGCTCTTGGGGGAGTTGAATGAACAGCGAAAGAGGGACTTTTTCTGTGACTGCAGCATCATTGTGGAAGGGCGGATCTTCAAGGCCCACAGGAATATTTTGTTTGCCAACAGCGGCTACTTCCGAGCACTGCTCATTCATTATATTCAGGACAGCGGGCGGCACAGCACTGCCTCCCTGGACATTGTCACTCCTGATGCCTTCTCCACCATTTTAGATTTCCTCTATTCTGGGAAGTTGGATTTGTGTGGGGAGAACGTGATTGAAGTCATGTCGGCCGCCAGCTACCTGCAGATGAACGACGTGGTGAACTTCTGTAAGACATACATCAGGTCATCCCTTGATATCTGCCGAAAGATGGAGAAAGAGGCCGCTGTGGCTGCAGCGGTGGCAGCGGCGGCAGCGGCGGCAGCAGCAGCTGCAGCTGCCGCAGCGGCTCATCAGGTTGACAGTGGAAGCCCCAGTTCAGGCAGGGAAGGGACTTCCTGTGATACCAAGTGCTTGGTCTCCTCTCCAGTCAAGGGAGAAGAGAGTGTGGACTGTCCAAGAGAGTCCCCTTGCGGTGACTGCAGAGGCTGCCACCCCCTGGAACTGGTGGTGAAAGATAGCCAGGGCAGTGGCTCAGCTGACAGTGACCTCTCTACTCTGCCCAAACAGATAGAGCCCAAGGTGGAGTATGATGCCGATGAAGTAGAGGTAGAGGTTGGTGAGCAGCTGCAGCAGTATGCTGCCCCACTGAGCCTGGCCCACATGGAGGAGGGTTTGCCCAGTGGCCAGGCCATTGACTTGGCTTACAGTAACTACCACATGAAGCAATTCCTGGAGTCCCTCCTGCGCAACAGTGCTGCCCAGAGCAGAGATGATGTGGACCATCACTTTTCTCGGAGTTTGGAGGGAAGACCAGATGCAGGAGGAGCCATGAGTTCCATGATGGATATCCAGACTGACTGGTATGGAGAGGACTCAGGTGAGCTCCATTAGCATTCATCGTCACTGCTGGTCATTTAGCCATGTCTGTGCCTTATAGCCTCCCGTCATCATCATTACCACCATCACTATCGCCACATTGTCACCGCCACCAACACAACAAATAGGTAGTAATTGAGCAGGACATTGTCTCTTAGTGTGTGTTAGTATTTTACCTCTACAACTAGACTATAAGTGTGTTGAGGGCGATTTGAAAACATGGAAAGAACCTACTATCTTCCACTAACTCACAGTGGGACTTTGGTTAAATTATTGAATCTCTTTGAACCTGTTTTATTGAGGAGATAATCATCTCTGCCTTGCCTTTCTCACAGGGCTGAGGACCAAATTAGAAGGTTTTCAGATTTTTTTCTCATGTACGATAACGTGTTCTAGACAGGTAGGAAATTTCTTCTTCTTTGTGTCAACCATGGTGCCTGGCACATAATAGATACTCAGTTAACTTGTCATGGTCAATGGTGCAGTCTACTTGAGAATATTTTAGAGTTGGCATTTGGCTTCATGTGAGTAAATTTCTTATATCCTTTGGTAGGCTTTTGTATTTTAAGAGAACTTGGTTGTGCCTCTGAACAATTCTGAGAGATAAGTTAACTCTTCCTAATAGATGAGCTAATTGTGTTGTAAAGTGTCTTGTAGGAGATAGAAATAGACTTGGCTGCCACCTTCCTGATGAAAGTACCCAATAGATTCTAGAACCTCAAGCCAAGAAATTAATGAATCAAAATCTTTATATACACTTCAGTATTGAACAGCGAAAGTATTTTAAATAAGGAAGACCAGCTGCTTTTACTTGTTACTAAATGGTCATATTTAGACTTTTTAATTTCGTTTTTTTAAAGCAAGAATGCTGTGTATGTCTGATTAAAGTTAGACTTGAAAAACTTGAAAATGCTGTTTCTGGTCCTCAGAGACACTGACCTAACCAACATTGAGAGAGTAGCGGCTGTTTTCAGTGAACACACTACAGGAACTTGTTGAAAGCTCATTTCTGTGTACATATTAACACTTCACAGCCTGTGATCACCCTTTCACATTTAGTAGACCTTCATCATGCCCCATGAGTTTGGCAGAGGAAGTGTGGAGAAACTGAGACCCGAAAGTGTTTAGTAAATTTCCTTAGAATGCAGAGCTAGTAAGTGCCAGGGCTAAAACTAGAAACCTGGGCTGGCTTCATGTCACTCATTAAACAAATCGAAGGCAGCACAAGTGGATAGATTTCAGTGCAATGAGTTTATCTTTCAACCCTCCTGCCTGTAAGCACAAGTATCAAAAAATAGCACTTCAGCTCTATACCATCTTCATTCAAGTCCAGTCTATCCGTCTGTAAAGTCAGGTTTCCAACTACAGGGTGCTGTGGCAAGGCAGCCACCCTTACCCCTGGCCATGTCTGCTGTTTTCCAGTTTTTGATTCCATTCAAACTGCTCCAAGGTAAATCTATTTTAAGTGCCAAGGCACAGAGTGGGACTGATTTGTTTGGCCATTTATTTATTTGCTCAAATATTCGAGTACCTTCTGCTGGGTAAAGCTACAAAAATAAGTTGGACATGGATCCAGCCCTCAAAGAACTGATGACGTCTTAGAGCAGGGATACCCAAACCCCTGGGCCAAGGACCAGTACCGGTCTGTGCAGGAGGTGAGTAGTGAGAGAGTGAGTGAAGCTTCATCTGTATTTGCAGCCGCTCCCGAGTTAGCATCACTGTCTCAGCTCCACCTCATATCATCGGGCATTAGATTCTCATAGGGGCACTGGTCCTTGGTGCCAAAAAGGTTGGGGACCGCTGTGCTTAGAGGAGATAAAATGGATGTAATTGGCATCACATGGTAGAAAGGTACTAGGGCTGGAAGACAGAGATGTGAGTTTCACAGTTGTCCAAAATCAGGAAAAGTGGCTTCCTACTGAGAAATCAGGGAGGTTTTATGAATGTGGCATCTGAGGGTAAAAAGAGACATAGGGAGAAATTGGCTGGAGTCAGAGCATGAAAAATCTTGAATGCTAAGAGGTGAGGTTTTTATCTCTAGGTACAGGGAGTATTTTTGGTAGTTTCTGAGAATGGACAGGATCTGTGCTTCGGGGAGCTTAATTTGGCCTCAGCACAAGATGGTGTGCAGAGGTGAGGCCAGGGCAGAGTGATTGATGGTCGGGAAGCTGTTGCAGTAGTTCGTATCCATGTTGTTCATCCCTGACATTCACAGGCACTGTCGAAGCATAAGATCCTCCTGTGATTTCTCCTCCTCCTACCTCTCAACCCCAGCACTTCTGATTACTTCTTGCAAAGTTCATCTGTATTGGCTACCGCTGCTCCTTTACTTCCACTCTTTTCTCAGCCCACCATGGTCTGACTTCCGCCCCCCATACACCACTGAAACTGCTGTCATGAGATCAGCTATACATTTCTTGAGCCTACCCAATGAGTGATTTTTAGGTGTTCTTTTACTTGACCTCTCCTTGAAATTCTTTCTTCCTCTGGCTTCTGACACCACAAGTACCCATTGGTCTTACCTCTGCCCATTCATTTTCAGCCTCATCATAAGGTCATTTAATGTCAGTCTGCCCAGCATGCCATCATTGGCTTGCTTCTCAACATTTTATCATTCCCGTTCATTCATTCATTCATTCAACAGATATTTATTTAGCACTTACTACACGCCAGGTACTGTTAATCACAGTGAACAAAAGACAGTCCTTGTCCTCATGGAGCTGACATTCTAGTGTAGGGAGACAGACAATAAACAAGTAACTAAATATATAACAAGAAGAACTAAAGCAGAGGAAAGATTGATAGAAAGAGAGGGGCATGCTATTTTATTTAGTGTTGACAAGGAAGCCCTTTATAACAGATTGCCTTTGAGCAGAAACCTCGAGGCTGTAAGAGAGCAGACTGTCCAGATATCAGAGAGAATGTTCCAGGCAGAGAGAAGAGCAAGGCACAGAGGCCCAGGTGCAGGATCTCATCTGGTGAGTGAACCGATGCCGGTGGGGTTGGAGTAGAGTGAGCAAGGTCAAGAGTGCTAGGGGATGAGGTCAGGAGTTGGGGTGAAGGGTAGATCAGGTAGGGCCTTGAAGGTCATGAGAATGCCTTTGGATATTACTCTGAGAAGGGAAACCTCTAGAGAGTCTCAGCCAAAAATGACTTGAAATGCCATATATTAAAAGGACCCCTTTGGGTACTGTGTGCAGTTGCCCCCTGAGCAGTCCTCTTGCTTCTACCCTTGCTCTCTTCCTGTAGACTACAGGGGAGCACATATTCTAGGCGAGTAAGGGTGGAAATGGGAAGATCACTTAGGAGGTTACTGTAATAACCCAGGTGAGAGATATGCTCCCTGAATCAGTGTGGTAGCAGTAGAGAGGTAAGATATGGTTGGATTAGGACTATACTGTCTCTCAAAGGGATAGCCAAGCAGATTTGCTAATGGCTTGTAGGAGTGGTATGAGAATAAGAGGAGTGAAGGGTGACCCTGAGGTTTTTAGCTTGAGCAGTTGATTTAAACTGTTATGTTTGTGCTCCTATTGGATCAGTGGAGATGTTCGGTAAGCAATTGCATCCATAAGTTTGGTGTTCTGGGGAACAGTCAGTACTGAGATAGAAATTTGGGAGTCATTAATGAGTCCATGGCATTTAAAACCTATCTGTCCCATGAATTTATAGATCTAGAAGGAGAAGGTAAGAGATCTAAAGACTGAGTCCAGGGGAACTCCAAAACTTAGAGGTCAGGCAAATAGGGAGAAACCAGTAAAGGAGACTGAGAAGGGGCGGGCAGTGAGGTAGGAGAATCAAGAAAGAGTGATGGCTGCCAAGAAGAGAAAGTATTTCAAGAAAAAAAGGAAAAATCAGCTATGTCCTATACTGCGTATAGGCGGATTGAGAACTGAATCATTGGGTTTAGCAATGGAGAGGTCACTGGTGAGCTTGACAAGAGCAGTATCAGTGAAGTTGTGGCACGAAAGACCGCGTGGAGTAGGCTTAAAAGAGAAGTGCAGAAGTGGATGTGAAGATAGTGAGTTCAGATGCTTCTTTCAAGGTATTTTATTATGAAGGGAACAAAGAAATGCATTGGTAGTTGAAGGGGGATATGAGGTCAAGGTTTTTATTAAGGTGGAGGATCTAAAAGCATGGTTATTAACCGATGGGAATGATGCGGGAGAGAGGAAGGTAATTGATAATGGAAGAAGGAGGGCAAATTGATAGAGCAAGGGGAAATGGGATCCTGTGTGCAAATGGAGGGAATGGTCTGGCTGTAGATGGGAGGAAGGATTATATGTGTTCATATGGGAGGTGGGGGGTGGCTGGGAGCAGGTAGAGGTTCTCTTCTGCTCGCTCCTCATTTAAATAAGAAGTAAGAACAGAGGCTGAAAGTGAGGAGGGGGCCAGAGGGGAGTGAAGATTTAAGCAGAGAGACGGTATAAAATAGTCATTGAGAAGAGTGGGAGAGTGAGTGAACCAGGGAAATATTTAGGATGCCTGAGCATAACCGAGAGCTCTTTTGACTTCAGTGGTAAGATGGTGATGATTAGGTAGATTTAAAGTGAGATCAGGACATATAGTTGTGTATTTTTCTCCAGTCATGTTAACTTACCTTATTTCAGGTATGGAATAGGCAGAGAGGTGTGTTCAACCAGAGGGTAGGTTTAGCCAGGTGAATACAGAGAGATGGAGAGAGAGGACCAAGGCAGTTGAAGATGTATGTGAGGGAGTGAGTTCATTGATGGACTGTAGGCACTAAAGTGAGGAAGGAGAGGCATGAGGACTTGACATGGACAGTAAGATGGTGGTAGAGCCCATGGCTTGGAGTCCCAGCAGAGAAGAAATACCCAGTTTGTGAGCTAGAGGATATGCTATAGTGATTGGGAAGTGAGGTATTTGAAATGCGGGTTATGGAACAATAACAGTTAGTGGTAATATTTAAGTATGGGACCACGATTCTCATCCCTGACTGTACATTAGAATGGGAAGTGTGCTTTAAAATATGCTTGCATTGAGGATTGGACATCAATTTTCTTTTAAGTTTCCCAGGTGATTCTAATATGTAGGCAGAATTGAGAGAGCTCTTGGTCGAGGATTGGGTGGCTGAGGTTGGGTAGAGAACAAGGACTTCTGAGCAAAGGAGGTCAAGGAACAGAGAGACCAGGGTGTTGGAAGGTCATTTTTGGTGTTCACACAAATTATGTTGTGTTTGAAGGCAATGTGATCAAATCTCCAAGGAATGAGAGGATGACCTAGGGGCTCCTGGATGGCTGTAACAAGGAGAGGTAACAGTGGTATCATTTGATGGCATGAGCTACAAAAGATCTTAGGGTTTTTGAGGATGGAGGGAGAGAGAGTGGTCTACAGTGAAGCACAAGAGAGACCCTCTTTACCTCTAACCTGGGGGGTGTCAGAGCTATGGGATAAGGGAAGTAGGGTGCTCACGGGAGAGGCAGGGCTCACTTAAAGCAACCACTGCAATCTGAGGACTCTCAAAACTGTATTTTCCCCTTCTTTCTCTAAGCTCCAGATTTATCTGTCTAACCCAGATATTCCCCTAGGATGCTCTGAGCCTGCCTCAAACAATGAAGTTCAAACTGAACTTCTCATTCCTCCTGTACCTGCTTTTCCTCCTGTGTTCCCTGCCTCAGTTTGTTCACCATCATCTACCAAATCAGCCAACCCAGAATCTGTGTCATTTAGGATCTTCTGTTTCCCTCCCTTCTCCTCCCCTCCCCTCCCCCATGTGGTTGAGTACTGGGTTAATTTTATTTCTCCTCAAATGTATCTCCTCTCTACCTGGACTTCTTTAGTTCACGTCATCTCTCATCCCCTCCTACCTGGACTTCCTGCCTTATCTTGCCTCTCGTAAATCTTTCCCTTGTACTGTCCCCAGAGGAATCTTTTAAAAGTCAAATCTGACCATGTACCGCCCTGCTTGAATTCCTGACTGTTCACAGAATAAAGTCTAGTTCCTTAACATGTCAGTATCACAGAAGCAGGGAATTTTTTCTGTTCACTGCTATATCTCAAGGGCCTAGGACACAGCCTGACACATAGTAGGTGCCCAGTATAAATTCGTTGAATAAATGAATGAATGTGACCGTCACAGCCTGGTTCTTGCCCCTTCCTTAGCCTCATTCCCCCACACCCCACTTTATAGTCTATATTCTCTTTAACTCTGTGCCTCAGCAAGCGGTATTCTTCTGTGTGATATACCTTACACTTTCTTGAACTTCTGGTGAACTCTTATTCATCCTTTAAAACCTTGCCTAAAGATCACCTCTCCTGTGAAATCTTCTGTGAACTTCTAGAGAGTTTTATTACTTTCTTGTCTATATTTCTTCATCACTTTGAACTTTGCATGTGTTACATTATGTTGTATGAATTTGTTTACATGTCTTTCCTGCTAGAGTTAACATTTTTCTTTTAAACTTTTATTATTTTTAATGTGGTAAAATATCATAGCATAGCATAACGTTTTTTATTTTAACCATTCACCAGTGTAAACTATAGTGGCATTAAATACATTCATGTTGTTATGCAACTATAATTCTCTATACCTAAAACTTTTTCATCACCTCAAACACAAACTCTGTACCCATTAAACACTAATTCCCTCTCCTTTCCCACTCCCCCAGCCCTTGGTAGTACCTGTTGTACTTTCTGTCTCTATGAATTTGACTGTTCTAGGCATCTCATGCTATATTAATTTTTTAAAAATTTAAATGTAGTTGGTATACAATATTATATTAGTTTCAGGCATATGGTATAATGATTTGACATTTATATAACTTACAGTGTGATCACCACACTGAGTCTAGTATTTATCTGTCACCATGCAAACTTATTGTTGACTGTATTCCCCTTCACCTTTTTTACCCATCCACCTACCCCTCTCCCCTCTGGCAACCATCAATTTGATCCTTGTTTCTATGAGTCTGTTTCTGTTTTGTTTATTCATTTGTTTCATTTTTTTGTTTGTTCATTTGTTTCATTTTTTTTAGATTCCACATTTAAGTGAAATCATATGATATTTGTCTTCCTCTGACTTATTTCACTTCGCATAATACCCTCTAGGTCCATCCATGTTGTCACAAATCACAAGATTTCATTCTTTTTTATTTCTGAGTAATATTCCCATTGTATATATTTATATATACCACATCTTCTTTATCCATTCATCTATTGATGAACACTTAGGTTGATGCCATATCTTGGCTATTGTAAATAGCACTGCAGTGAACATAGGGGTACATATATCTTTTCAAATTAGCGTTTTCATTTTCTTCAAATACCTAGCAGCGGAATTGCTGCATTGCCTGGTAGATCTATTTTTAGTTTTTTGAGGAATCTTTATACTGTTTTCCATAGTGGCTGCCCCAATTTACATAGATTTAACTTCTTGAGGGAGGAAACCGGTATCTTGGTAAAGACAGATCTTTGACACAGTGCCTGGTGCATAATTGGCATTCAAGTGAACTGTTGTATTGGGGGAATCAGATCAGGAGAGAGGAAGGAAAGTGTTGCAATAATTCGTACTTTTCTGATGGATAGAAATAGTTAACAGTTGTTTTTTTCCAAGGTCTAATGCTGGACCCATTTTACTTATTGTTTTGTAAGTAATTGGGAAGAAAGGTATCGTACACTGACAGGCCGATGGGGAGAAATGACAGGAAGATCCCACAATGCCAGAGGAGTGAGCAGGAAACTAGCATCTCAGTATCAGTGTGATTAATGAGAAATAAAATAATCCAACATATGTGTGTGGCGATGAGCTATGAACTGCTGCTTTAATTCTAGGAAATAGGTTTTGGAGTCACTAGATTATGCAAAATGTTAGGCAACATCAGGATGGGAACTAGAAACCCAAGAGAATAATCTCCACCCTTCATAGAATGATGTTGGAGTCTCACTTGGAATTCAGTTTACCATACTTTTTGGGCAGCACCTCAGGAAAGGCAAAGGCCACTTAGGTGTCCTGAGAAGGTCTCAGAGAAAAGGAGTTACTCCAGTGTTGAGAGAGACTTCAAGAGCCTGGCTTGCTTAATCAGTCAAGAAATAATAAGGAAGTGATGATGATGACAATAATGGCTGACATTTGTGAGAGCTTAGTATGTGCCAGGTGCTCTGCCTTCAGCATTAGTTCATTTCATTCTTACCACAATGCTATAAGGTGGGAATTATTAACATCCCTATTCTACAGATGAGTAAATTAGGGCAGAGAGAAATTAAGTGAGATGTTCAAGGTCACACAGCTGGTAAGTGGTAGAGCCAGAACTTGAACCCAGGTTTCTGTGCCTGGAAAGCTTGAGGCACTAGTGTCTTCATATATGATATGATATATATGATACGATATATGTGATATGATATGAGCAAAGTCTGTAAAATCCTGAAGGGCATGGATATATGGAACAAATCTCAAGAGTACTACAATAAGGGTAACTCAGGTAACTCAAAAGGAAATTGCTATACATGTGGGTGCTAAACATGTTGTCGCTTCATGGTTGTATGAGCAACGTAAACAAACAGAGAGTTGGGAAAAGATTTAAGCGAATTCCTGGATATTTGACAACTTCAGATACAGAGAGTTAATATGAATTCCAAACAGTTTAGGGTCTGCAAACCTCTTCTGTACAGGCCTGGAAACTATTCCTAGGAGCGACTGTCGAGGAAAGTGTGAATCCTGGTCCAGGGGTCTAATCCATCACAACCATCTGGGCTGGTTGGATTCCCCAGCCCTGGATCCCATCCATCAGCATGTGGCCAGTGTTGTTGCTGCTTGTTACAGTACAGTTAAATCAATTCATTTGTTTCCCCCAGGTGATGTGCTGGTGGTCCCCATCAAGCTCCACAAGTGTCCTTTCTGCCCTTACACTGCCAAACAGAAGGGCATCCTCAAGCGGCACATCCGCTCGCACACAGGTGAGCGACCCTACCCCTGTGAGACCTGTGGCAAGAGGTTCACTCGACAGGAACACCTGCGGAGCCACGCCCTGAGCGTAAGTGACCTGGCAATTCTCTTACGGTAGGTGGGGTTGGGGAGAGCAGCTCCAGACATTCATCTGACATAAGGATAAAGCCAGCCTGTCTTTCACGTCTCTGTCCACTGGGATATTTTCAGAAAATTTTAAGCATGTTTCTACTACTAAATTGAAGCTGGGTTGGTGGCACTTGGAGAGAGTTAAAACTTTAGTGGTAACAGACTCGTTTTCTTAGGGAAGAAAGTTTAGATCCTGGTCAGGGATAGTTGTCCTAAGGCAGAGAACTCTGGGGCTTGGGCAGAGGGTCGTGTTCCACCAGTGTGATGCCAAAGGTCAACTGAATCCTCAATTTCGCACCCAATTCCATCGCCTCAGTGTTGGGGAGAGGTAATATAGGCATACCTCATTTTATTGCACTCCACTTTATTGCTCTTTGTGGATATGTTGTTTTTTTACAAATTGAAGGTTTGTGGCAACCCTGCATCCAGTGAGTCTATTGGAGCCATTTTTCTAACAGCATTTGCTCACTTTGTGTCGTGTCATGTTTTGGTAATTCTTGCAATATTTCAACCTTTTTCATTATTATATTTGTTATGGTGATCTGTGCCAATGATCATTGATCAGATGATGGTTAGCAATAAAATATTTTTAAATTAAGGTTGTATACATTGTTTTTTATTTTTTATTTTTAAATTATTTTTAGGTGAGGCAACCCTTGGTTGACCTCACAGATTGCCAGGACCTTGTCATTTTACAATCCCTTATTTTTTTATTTTTTACACCTACAGCCCCTGGTCTTCCTAGGTGGTCTCCCATCTTAGTACTAACCAGGCCCAACCTTGCTTAGCTTCCGAGATCAGACAGGATCGGGCATGTTTAGGGTAGCGTGGCCATAGACTATACATTGTTTTTTTAGACATATGCCATTGCACAGTTAATAATAGATCGTAAACATAACTTTCATATGGACTGAGAAACCAGGAAATTTGTGTGACTCACTTTATTGTAATATTCACTTTATTGCAGCAGTCTGCGACTGAACTCACAGTATCTCCGAGTTATGCCTGTATTATTGCCACTTATTTATAGGGCAGCAAAGAGAGCTCCAGACCAAGGGGACCTCCCTTCCCACTGGCTGTCCCCTAGGATTCTGTCTCCCATGTGAATGAATGATTTCCATCAGTAAAAAGCACTCAGGCCATTTAGAAAGGTGTTGCATTTAAGATCATCTTTGAGCAAGGCAATCAGTCCTTGAAAAATCCAACATAAAAATGATTTGGACTTCAAATGATAATATCAAGAATGTGAACAGACAACCCAGAGAATGAGAGAAAATATTTGTGAATTGTTTATCTGATAAGGGTCTACTATCCAGAATATATAAAGAACTTTTACAAGTCAACAATTAAAAGACGAACAGTGGATTTAAATAGACATTTCTCCAAAGAAGATATAATGGCCAGTAAGCACATGAAAAGCTGCTCAACACCATTAGTCATTAAAGTGCAAATCAAAGCCATAATGAGATGCCACTTAACACCTACTAAATTGGCTATCATCAGAAAACGGATAATAGCAAAGTGTTGGCAAGGATGTGGAGAAATTGGAACTTTCATACATTGCTGGTGGGAATGTAAAATGGTGTAGCACTATGGAAAACCAGTCTGGCAGTTCCTCAAAAAGTTAAGCATAAAGTTACTATAGGACCCGACAATTCTACTTCTGGGTATATACCCAAGAGAACTGAAAACATACATTCACAAAAAAATTTGCACACACATGTTCATAGCAACCTTATTCATAATAGTAAAAAAATGGAAACAATCCAAATGTACATCAACTGATGAATGGACAAACAAAAGGCGTATCCTTACAATGGAATGTTATCGGTCATAAAATGGAATGAAGTTCTGATACACACTACAACATGGATGATCCTGGAAAAGGTTATGTTAAGTGAAAGAAGCCGGTCACAAGGGACCACATATTCATATGATTCCATTTATATGCAATGTACAAAATGGGCAGACTCATGGAGTAGAGAGTAGATTGGGGGTTACCAGAGGCTGGGGAGCCATGGGAATGGAAGAGGGATGACTGCTAATGGGCACAGAGTTTCTTTATAGGGTGATGAAAATATTAGGGGATGAGATGATGGTAATCTTGTGAATATTCTAAAAGCTGCTGAATCGTACACTTTAAAAGGGTGAGTTTTTATGGTATGTGAATTGTGATTTTGAAAGAATCCAGATTTAAGATAGGTACAAGTTTACTGACTGCCTTTGTTCTCAATACTGGCCCCAGCACACTTGTCTGAGAATGGCCTCATCCCAAGACCTTAAGTTTTTGTTGTTTGCTTGTCTCTAGTTTCACTGGTTAGAGTCCTCATTCCCTCTATTTCTCCACATTATATAAGGTCCAGCCTGCTGCATCCTAAAAAGGTGACATTCAGAGGCCGCATCAGGTTGCGAGGGTCATATACACACTCAGGTTGGCTCAAGTGTTGAGAGGTTAGTGTAGGAAGTGCAGGAAACCTCATGGGAAGCAAGGACATGGTCAGGATATAATGGCAGTTCCAGCAACCTGGGTATCAGGGCCCCTCTCCTGCATCAGCCTCTCTCTGTCTCTGCCTCCTGTGCATAACCTGCATCCAGAACTCTCTAAAAGAGAGGCTGTGGTTCACAAACCCCCTTTGACTGGATTTCTGTAGAATTCATACATTTAAAGATAGTTCCTTATACAGAGGGGACTCCTGGGGCTGCTGCCCTCAGGAGTTACTGTATGGGGTGGGAGATCAAGTTTTCTTTTCTGGAATACAAAGCTCTTCTCATTAAGGAATGCATTTATCAATGAAAAAGTCAAGGGTGAATCATCTGCTGGCATATTCGGGGAATACAGTTTAGCAAATCTGCCTGCCTAATAACTAAAAAATTTAAGGTATATTAGAAGCCATGTGTAAAATCAGAATCAGTTCACTGAGTGCCCTTTCTATGCCAGGCACCAGAGATATAGTAAAAAAATGTGACAGAGGACAGAGGACGTGAATGAGGATAGTCCCTGCTTTCTTGGAACTTACAGTTTAGTGAATTTTACCAACAATTTGTTAGAAATACAGTAGTCTCCCCTTATGTGCAGTTTTACTTTCTGAGGTTTCAATTACCTGCAGTAAACTGTGGCCAGAAAATATTAAATGGAAAATTCCATAAATAAACAATTCGTAAGTTTTAAATTGCATGCTATTCTGAGTAGTGTGATGAAATTACATGCCGTCCTGCTCCTTCTCACTCAGGATGTGAATCGTCTCTTTGTCCAGTGTGTGCACGCTTTATATGCCACTGGCCTATTAGTCACTTAGTAGCTGCCTTGGTTATCAGATCAATTGTTATGGCATCGCAGTGCTTACGTTGACATAACCCTTATTTTACTTAATGGCCCCAGAATGCAAGAGTAGCGATGCTGGCAATTTGTGCCAAAGAGAAGCTGTTTTAAACGAAAAGGTATGTATGTATAGGAAAAAAATGTATATATATAGGTACTCTCTGTGATTCGGGCATCCACTGGGGATCTTGGAACATATTCCCCATGGATAAGGGGGACTACTGTATAATGAAGAAGTTTAAGTGAGACTATATATCTGGGGGGCCTAACCTGGCCTGGAGCATCAGAGAAGACGTCTTTGAAAGACATTATGAAGGGTGGGGGATCAGCTATGGGGAGGAGGGCACATTCTACCCATGTCCAATAGCCCCTGGGTTGGTGAAGCCGAGACTGCAGCAGATGGAACAAGAGGAAGAGCAGTGAGAAGTGAGGTTGGAGGGTCAGCCATGGGTCACATCACATGGGGCCTTGAAGGCCATGGCTCAACTCCATTTCTGTGACATTTACTGTGTCTTCTTGTGATTTCAGGTCCACAGATCCAACCGTCCAATCATCTGCAAAGGCTGCAGAAGAACCTTCACGAGTCACCTGTCACAGGGGCTGCGGCGCTTTGGGCTGTGTGACAGCTGCACCTGCATTACAGACACACATGATGATGAGGACGATTTGATGCCCATCAACCTTAGCCTGGTGGAAGCTTCATCCGAAAGCCAAGAGAAGAGTGACACAGACAATGACTGGCCAATCTATGTGGAGTCTGGTGAGGAAAACGACCCCGCTGGAGATGATTCTGACGACAGACCACAAATTCGGCCCAACTTAACAAATCGAGAGACACTCACGTAGCAGTAAATTGGTGGGGAAGAGGCTTTAGAATTTGTTATTGCTCAATCTGTCGTTGAAAGCTACCTTTTGTCCAATTTTGTGGAACCCTGAGAGGAACATTTTTTCACTGTTAATATTTGCATTTTCGTTAGACTACATGGTAGAGATTGGATTTTGTGACTCAAAGGATTATGACTTTTTAGCATGGTACCCTTGGTTTCTGAGAGCTTTTGCTGACCATTCCTTAATTCTGAGTGAATCAAGGCTGGCCCTCAGGCCTCCAAACTCAGGTTAGGAGGAAAATAAGGAAACCGCCATGCCTCTTTTCATATTGTCTCAATCTTCTGTATTCCTTTGTTATCATCCTCTTTTCTCTGAAAAGGTGGGCAAGAATTTATTAAGTTTTGAGATCAATCTTACCTCTGCCGAGCCTCTCCTAGTGAATTCCATATTCCAATTTTCTGGTGAAGTATTTAAGGGAAAGCTTTATCGATATAAGGCAGACAGGGCTGTCTGGCTATATGATCGTAAAAGGTACTTTCTAAATCTAAGACTGCAATTTTATTATTTATTATTTTTTAAGCGTCTACAGCACCAGGTATTCCTAGGTGGTCTCCCATCCAAGTGCTAACCAGGCCCGACCCTGCTTAGCTTCTGAGATCAGACTAGATTGGGCACATTCAGGGTGGCATGGCTATAGACCAAGACTACAATTTTAAAAGGGGATATTTATGTGCAGACAAGCATGGAAATGAGCTAAAAGCCTCCTCATGGCATTCTGACTGACTTGCCCAGTTGAATTAAATTCTAAGTTAGCCCTGGGAAGTAAGCCCATGAGCCCAGGTCTGGGTGTTTTCCCTGCTGGGTTTGGTATTCGACAATTCTACACACACAACCTGTTTTGTGATCATAAAAGAAGTCATTTGGGCAAAACAAAATGCTCCCCTGCTTTTTCAAGCCATTTCCAGAGGCCACTGCTGTGTAACCTGGAAATGCAGCTGCCGCTGACATTCTTTTACTTTGTGAATAGAACTCTAATTGGAGGAAAAGTGTAAGCCTATATAAATAATATATTTCTAAATAGTTTACCTTTTAAAAGATCCTCTAGAAGGGAAGAGAAGGTTAGTAGAAGAACAGATTTTTAAAACCCATTTGCTTTTAACCCACTTTGCAAGCATGCAATTATTCTAACAAAAGGCTGTACTTCTTTAAAGGGCTAACAAAGAAGGAAATGTTAGGGATTGAAATTTTTAAGGCATTTTCATAATTTTGTCTTATGTTAAGTTATCCAAAATGGATTTTAAAAGAAATCCCTTTTTCTTCCTTTTAGTTATAGTTATGTTTCAAAAGGTAGTCAAATCACTTTTTTTTACCTCTTGAACAAAAAAGATCATCAAAAACATCATAAATTAGCTTGTAAGTGTTAGTCATTGAAGAGTTCGAGAGGTATTTAAACTGTACTTCTCAACAGAAATTAAACTCTAGCTAGTGCTACTCAACCCGTGGCCTATAGACAGATGCTGATCTATGAATTGTTTGATACCCATCCACACAGTAGGACCACGTATTGGGCTGCAGTGGACTGGAAATTTAAAAACTGGTCTTTTACCACAGATAGTTTTAAAATTATTTTTATAGATCAAGAGTTACAAATTGAAAAATTACCAAGGACCGAGAACACTTTTCTTAACCTGAAATGAAAATATTAGCTATTGTTTTAAAAGAGGTATATTTAGCAAAAGGGACACCTAAATGGATATGTAGAAGATATATTTTGTAAGGAGTTATGTTTGATATTTTTGTTCTCTCTGTTTAAAGTATTTCTGATGTTTTAATATGATTTTTCTACCTCACAGTTTAACTTCTTTGCCTTGTTTCTCTGGTAGAGCAAGGACCCTCTTCAGTGACCCCATGACCTATTCATAACATTGGGTGCTAAGTAAAAATTTTACATTAGAGATTTCATTGTAAGACAGTGATTTTTCAACTGGGGGTGATTTTACCCTCTGGGGGTTGTTTGGCCATGTCTGGAGACATTCTCAGTTGTTACAACTTGGGGCAGGGTGTCACTAGTGTCCGGTGGGTAAAGGCAAAGGATGCTGCTAAACATCCTACAATTCATAGGACAGCCTCTTAAAACAAAGAATTATCTAGTCCATACTGTTAAGGGTTAAAAGTTGAAAAACCCTGCTAAAGAGTAGGATCTTAAAGCTGACCTTTAATGAGTGAACTTAATTTTGCGTTATATTTTAGTATACCTTTTACCTTATAAATATTTAATAGGCCCTTGTGCCCCCACAAGTTTTGGAAAATACTAGATTAATAAAATGGAGAATGGAGGCCAAATTATTCATAACTTGCCAGAGATCTGATTAAGTTTGCAATGTGGAAACTTAGAAATTCCAACCAGAGTTGGAATGCCCCCAGAACCACTACTAGGTTGTGATCATTTTATTAAATTTTAAAGTAGCAGAATCATTGGCAGGAAAATGGAACACAAAGCTTACTATTTAAATGATTCTCTTTTTTCCATAATGTCTTGAATCGTTGCATTCCTGGTTGTCTGTTCGGAGTTTGTATGTTGGCATTCGTAATGACCGGATTGCTGAATTCTATCACTTTTAAAGGAGACCGTTGTCTAGACTCTCAGATCATAAACTGCCTGTTTTAAATTTATGTTCACATTTGGTGGTCAGTATTTATAATCTGCACAGTGTCTTTGAGGTTTAATTTGTGGAGTTGGTGATATTTTTATAATATGTAAATTCACAGTTGGGTCCAACACAGACCATTAGTGATTTAGGTTATATTCTGGCATCTTTCTGGCATATTCAGTCCAAATTCACAAAGGGATACTTTCATATTAGATATATTGCATGAATGGGAACAAGATTCTTACTTGTGATGGAATTTTAAAATGGCATCCTTGGGAAGTTTTTTCTCTTGGGAGAAGGGGACAGGATTTCGTAGCAAGGGTGGGAAAGGATGTAAATAAGGCCTCTAACTGTAATATATGAAGAAATGACATTGAGCATCGTGAATTCTGGTCATTTGTCAGAAAGATGCCATTTAGATGTAAATATTTTGGTGGCCATTAGACTGAATATTCCTTAAGAAAATGACTGGTCGCAGAATGTTGTAGAATTGAATATTCTGGTGGTTCAGAATACTGTGATGGTTTTTTGTTATTGTTGTCGTTCTTAATTGATGTGATAAACCCCACAGAGAGAAAGGCAACAGGTAGAGTTACCTGTACAGATCCTGAGGGCAGTGGGGAAGGCTGGAGTGGCCTTTGGTCAACTGAATTCAGACTGTTTCATTTGGACTTCTAGGTTTTTGTGTGTCCCTATGCATTGACAATAGAATTATCTCTGTGAGGTCTAGTATAATGGGGTAGGGAGGGACAAAGTGTTGGGTGGGCAAGAAATTCCTATTATACTCTGTTTTGAGCATACACTATACTTCCTGTCGTCGTTGGTCTCTTACAATTTGTCTTGTGCTTTCATGTGGTCACACTGTCTTCTGCCCCAAAAAGGGGGGCACTTTTATTTAGTCGCTTATGATGGGCAATGTTTTCATTGATTTTTGTTCAGTATTTCCACAACAATTATTATTACGTTCCTCAAACCTTTCATTATAGTGCTGAAAATCTGAATTCTTTTCTTCAAATAATGCTTCTGTAGATACAAAAGGAAAGGTTTTGTTTGGCAGGAATAGTTCGGTTGGTATCTAACATGTCCTAGTCTTAAAAGGTAACACTAACTCACACCATTGTGATTAGGTGATATAGAAGCTTCGTAACTTAAGGAGGATGTTTAGCATCTGATCTGACCCTCCAGGTGGATAATTTTACTACTGCCAATTCTTCATTGATAAGTGTGGTTTTGGGAGCAATTTTTATATTCATTTGATTTTTGGACAAGGAGATGGACCCACATCATGCAAATATGGGAGCTGTCCTGGTTTAAAAGCCTCTTGTCCCACAGGAGCAAGTGTCTCATAACAACTCCATAGACATAGCTTCCAGGGTTCCCCTTGCAGGGGACATATCTATTCCAAGAGTCACTGTACTTAGGGAAGCTCAGAGCTGTAGCTTCCTATAAGGTATTTATAGTTCTCCCAGTCTCAGTGCATTTTACCAATTAGGGGTCATTTCTGCCATATGTAATGTTGCCTAGCAACATAGTTGACATACTACTCTTTAGTAAGTTGTCAGGGGAACAGAGCTAGAAAGTTAACCAGAGGTCAAATTCTCACACAGAAGGGGAAAGGTTCTGTTAATCCTTTACCAAATAGCATGCTGAGCAATTGCATAATAGATGCTCTACCTAGTTCCTATAAAATATAGCCAGAGGAATTTCCTATTAAAATATAGCCAGCACCAGCTAACTTTTCCTCTCTTGAAGAGTGTTCATTGCGCTTAGCTGCTTGTGATTTATACACTGCAGATTTTGCTGAGATAAGTGTAAGAGTTGGATAAATAGTCACAGTGGTCCTATCAAAATGTCACGTATCCTTTGGTGCTGCTCATAGTAGATAGATATAGTATGACATACTTATAGGGACATTAAATGGAAATTTCTGGGAATCTCATCAATCATACTTTGATGAGAACCTATGTCCACCTGGCAACCACCAAACGCTAGGCTCTTGGTAACGGTGCCTCTTATTGCTCTGTCATGTGGTGCTACTCTTGCCTGCTTCCATTGCTCCTCAATAAGTGAGGATATTGGGTTATCCAACAATTATTTATGGAGTCCTTCTTATGTGTCAGGCACTAGGGGGACAGCAATGAACAAGCACGATCCTTGCCCTCAAGGAACTTGTAGTGGGTAATCAGGGAGACTACCAAAGGGTGTGACAAATAGGGGCAAGGACAGGGTGCTCTGAGAGTGCTTGGGTAGAGCGCCTAGCCCAGTCTTAGAGCTTCAGAGAAGGCTTTCTTGTCTAAGCTACTGTTGGTGGTCCTTCCCATCCAGTAAATTTCTAGCTTTGGGATACAGTTTATGAGCAATTTGAACAATTTCTGACATTTCTTGCCTTTTCCAAACGTGGTGGTTTTGGACATTAACGGTGTTTAAATTACTTGTTTTATTCAGGTATATAAAAATACTGTAAACATTTTAGAATATCCTAGTCTTTAGAAAAATGCATTAGATGCTATGGTTTTCTTATTAGAAACAAATAACTTCCCATTATCTTGATCCAGTATAATAAGATAGAACAAAAGTATTGTTACTGTGACAAATGTGGAGGAGCCAGGCTGCATCTGCCTTGAGTCTTGGCTGGCCATGTAAACTGGTAATACCCAGAAACCAGGAGAGATATGGGATAGAACCATTAAATCAAGAATTTGAGAAATAAAAGGGATGTTAGAGATACTGTAGTCCAACTCCATTTTACAGAGAGGTGAAATGACTAGTTCCCAGTTCCCACACCTCTAGTTGGGATCAGACATCAGGCTCTGCCAGGTTAATGCTAATAATAAACATGTTTGGGCAGGTAGCAAAGAGCATCTGTAGATAGCATTTGTTTCCTTAGGGTACCCATTGGACTAAAACCACAGAAGAGGAAAGTGCTATTTTAGCCTCATGTGACTTTGTGTGATCATGGCCTGCATTCTTGTAGTGCTTAAGACAGGAAGGGGGTGAAATCACATGTCGAGCATGGGGGAGTTAATTTCTTTGCCAATAATGCCAACATATTATCTGAAACAACATAAACACCACACAGACACACATACACACACACACAGCAGATCAAAATGTCCACTTATTTTATATGTATCATGTATTTGATTTTAGTATATTAATTTTATTTGTAAAAAATTTCCAATTTAGAAATTATACATTTTCTTGAAATTACTTTTGCCAACCTCTCTGACTTGAGATATAAATTGGGCATGATTCAGGGAAGTTGACAAAGACAATCTTATTTGAAACAAACAAAAAAACATATTTAAGTCAGCAGCCCATATAATAATATAGTATTGAGTGAAAATATATTTTAGGTATTTCTTGACTCTGAATTTTAATAAATCTACTGTAAAAGCTAAATTTATTTCAAGGTCTGTGGTAATATATAACAGTTATTAGTAAAACAGATTTGCCACTTTATGATTTAAAAATAATTAGAAGCATAATAACTCTGTATGGTGCCAGGTAGCTACTAGACTTATTGGGGGATCACTTTGTAAATTATGTACATGTCTAACCACTATGCTATACACTTTAAACAAATATAAAATAATATTGAATGTCAACTATAATTGAAAAATAAAAATTATTAAAATAAATTCAGGGAAAAAATACTATAGTAAAAAAATGAACTATTTTCAGGCACTATAGTCAGAATAGTGTGGGAGATATTTTAGGGTAATTGAAGGCGAACATCTTTAACTTCGTTCATTTACTTCATTATTTGAGAATGAATCATGCTAAGATTCTGTGTGACAGCACCTATGGATTCAGCAACGCATGGTAGCTATTCTCTTACCTGGCAAGGTTTCCAGCTATAAAACCTGCATTAAAAAAAAAGGAAAAAAGAGAAAAGAAAGAAATTTTGGCTAAAAAAACAAACAAACACACACCCTGCATGAAAAAATGACCTTGGATATTATACAATGGATAGAAAAAGTTGAAAGGAATTCTGATTTCAGACATAATTTTTCAGACTTTCTTGAAATATAAGTGACTTTTTTTCTCTAAAAATAAAAAATACCTAGAACCAGAAATATTTATCAGTATTTGATCTTAAATATAAATATTTAGTTTGGGACTAAAATTGATGCAAATCACCTTTGATTTTGTTAAAATAACCTGTGGGTAGACAGGAAATAGTCTCAAACTAAATTTTTGTTTTGATTTACATAAGTCAGATTGAGACACCCTAGTGACAAATTTAGAATAGAAATAGCCTCAGCCAGGTTTAAGAAATAGTCTTTTGTTCCTTTATTGCTTGTTTTGTCTTCAGAAACAAATGCAATTTAACTATTTTTTTGTACCTTCCAGAACTTTGACCTAAATTAGATAACTGTAAATTTTAGAATGGCTAAGGTCAAAATGGTTAAAACAATTTCTTTAGAATGAATGAAAAGAATTAAGGATTAATTACCTCACATGGATGGGTTAATAATCTTTCATAATTTAAATTTAGTTAAATGTTTTTCTCATTAGAATTATTTTGCATGAAATTCTAATGTGGAATTTTACAGATAAGATATTAGTTAAGAAAAAGAAGACAGCTACTAAATAGAGCTCTCAACAAAAGAAGCTTCCATCAAACATCTTTTCCCATCTCTCTGTTCAGTGGTGTTAGGACCAACTACTTATATTCTGAGAGAGTTTCTGGGCAGAGTATCGCAAGCTAGAATGTTTTAGATTCTGTGAAAGAAGACTGACCACTGCTTGATGACTGGGTTGATTCATGGGATGCAATATAAGCAAAAACTAATGGCAGACAACCCCCAAATCAGAAAAGACATAACCATTCTAAACACTAAGCACTATAGTCACACTTTCCAATAACTCAAAAGAAAAAGAATAACTGACTATCTTTGGCTGTCAAGAGTCCAAGTGGATTAGTTTCTCTTACAAAAAAAGCACTTGTTAAAACTGCTATCAAAAAAAAGGTGACGTTGGAAATGATCTTGACAATTAAAATAGCAGCAACTGATAACTTTTTTAAGGAGTGGGAAACTTTCTGCTTTTTAGAACTGAGTTGGTCTATATGTTAAAGTGGCTCTGTACCAAGTCTGTTTATATGGTTCATTGTTGTCCACATTGTGTGTTGTTTTGCTAGTTTTACTTTTTATATATAAAGAACTAAAAATAAGAATAAAGTATTAAATTAGTGGATACAATCTATAATCTAGATCTGACTTCTCATTTCTGTTGTCTTGGCAGCCCATTTTAATATAAGTCTTTGAGACATGCATATTTTTCTTTCAAAAATTATTATTTTTTAAACAAGTTTGAAATATTTATCTTTCAAAGACAGGAAGTTGGTTCAGTTTTAGCAATGTATTGATATAATTTTACATTTTTAAAAATTATTGAGGCTGGGTTCATTTAAGATTGGCTGGATTCACTGCCAGCTCTTGAGAAAAACATAGCCTATAGATTTTTAAATGATTCCCTGTAACAATATAGAACTGCTAACACTAAATACACTCTCCATCTGTTTGAAGACTCATTAACTTCAATTAATAAGAGACAAAAAAAAAAAAGACTACTTAAAACAAGTTGGGTCAAATCCTGTTTGCTGCCTATTTTTTGCAAATAAAGTTTTACTGGAACACAGACACACCCATTCCTTTCCATATTGTACATGCCAGCTTTTGCACTACAATGACAAAGTTGAGTGGTTGTGACAGACACCTTTCATCTGCAAAGCCCAAAATAGTTACTATCTTGCTTTACAGCATTTTGATCCGGACAAGAGATCCGTTATTCCTTTTGTAAAAAGATGATGGAGGTAGGCGAAGGGGTAGATTGCACAAACCTGGTAGGCTTCACTAGGGTTTAAATCATTCTAGTATGTATGGACCAATACGTGAGCATTACTAAGATTTAAACATGTCTAGTATGTATGAGGGTCAGTGGAGGGATGCAGCTGATCTCTATGAAGGTTTTAGGAGGAAATTGCTAGAAGTATCTGACCAAGAGAAAAGATGGTCACTTGGCTCAGCTCCAAGGCAGTGTGCCTAAGCCTTCAGTATGAGAGCTAGAGACAGAAACTAAAGGAACATGATCCTAAATCTTGGTGAGATGCTGAGAGCTCAAATGGCACTGCTTTGAACACCTGCCAAAAGCATGAAGCAGAATGGGCAGGAGCACTGGATGCCCTACTCTTCAACTCTGCATGACCTCAGTGTATTCTCAGCACAGCTGTGGCTCACAGGCAGTAGCAAGAGGGGTTAAATGCAGCTGTATAGGCTCTAATGGTGAGCGCTTGGAGGCACCTATGAATTCAGCAGCCCACATCAGAGTGCCTGTCTTGGTCAGGGTGGTTTGGCTTCAAAAAAGAGACACCCTAGGAAGTTGAAGACAATGGTTCTCACTGTGTGGTCCCAGGACCAGCAACATAAGCATCATCCCCAAGGGGATTCTGATGCCAACTAAAGTTTAAGAGCAGTTTTAAAAGGATTTGTTGCAAGATTAAAATGAGTGATTTTACCACTACCCTGGGATAGGAAATCAGCAGATCATCTGGAATTAGAATGTAAGCACTGAGATTGCTCCTGGTCTCTCATGGTCCTTGTCCATGCTCCTTGTCAGTTTGTCTCAGCTTGTGTGAAGTTCCCCAGCCACTCTTGGAAGACTAGCTAGCTGCCCCAGCCAGTACCTGACCATTGCCCTATCCTTTGGTTAAAATCCTCCAAAGGACAACACTTCAGTTTCTGTCTAGCAAAAGCTGGGTTCTCTTGTGTCACATGGTACCTTGAGTCAGGCAGTGGAAGGCTCTGGACAGGAGGTGGGAGTGGAGGTGGAGGGGTGAGGATATGTGAACAGATAGGTGGGTGGTGGTATGGGAACAAAAGCTGGGTGGTGGTATGGGAACAGATAGATCCTCCTGATAAGGGTCTCTGGAGAGGGCAGAAATACTGACCTACATGTCTTCTATGTTAAGAAAATCAGGAGAGGGGAGGGGGAAAATAAAATAATAAAATGTTAAAAAGTAAAAATAAAATTACTTAAAAAGGAAAAAGAAAATCAAGGCTGACAGGAACATTTTCAGGAGTTTGCATGATACATTTCCAGGTGTTCCCAGAATCAGTGGAGGTGGGGAGGGGAACTGTAGGTGGCTGTAGGGTTTTCCATTAGTAGGGAAGCAAAAGTCTATTTAGTTATATACCCCCCAAATTGAATTTGAAAACAGGTGTTCAAAGACTTGTACACAAATGCAAACGTTCATAACAGCATATTCACAACACCCACAAAAGGTGGAAACACCCAAATGTCTATGTCTATCAGCTGATGAAGAATAAACAAAACGTGGGGTATGCATAAAAATGGTGTTGTTATTCATCCATTTAAAGGAATGATGTTCAATATGCTCCATATTGAACCTGGAAAACATAATGCTAGGTGAGAGAAGTGTTACATAGGACATCATATTGTATAACATCATTTATACAAAATATCCAGAATAAACAAAGCCATCCAAACAAAAAAGCAGAGTGGTGGTTGCCAGGGGCTGGGCAGGGAGTAAGGAATGACTGCTAATGGGTGCAGATTTCCCTTCTAGGTGACGGAAAATTCCAGAACTAGATAGTGGTGATGGTTGCGCAACACTGAACGTATTTAATTGTCCTTTAAAATGATAAATTTCATTATGTATTTTAACATTAAAAAAAAAATCTATTTAGTGTTTCAGGGACTTCCTAGGTAATCACGCGAAGACGGGTAGGCGGAGGCGCCCACGGCCGTGCCGCTAGATCTGAGCACTTCCCCATGCGGTCCCGGGCCGCTGGGGTCAGAGGCGCAGAGAAAAGCAGGCTCCATTTGCAGCCCCGGGCGAAGAAGCGGCAGCGGCGGCGCGCCAGCTCCGACGGGCTGGGGACCGTCACAAAGGTGGCGCGGGCAGCTGTGGCAGAGGACGCGGCCTCGGAGCGGCGATCCGC